TCAGAACATTGCGTGTGTTGAAGTTGTTTTAACGCAAACCAAAGATGTCTTTTAAAAAACAAGTTTACATCATATTCTTATGCATGCCAGTGCTGGGTGTGAGGTAATTTAAGGTGGTTCTGACAAGTGTCATTGGCATCTTATATCCGGTCACATGGGCAGCAAGCTACTCCCATCCATCACATGGGTGGCAAGCCACTCCCACAAAGGAGGCCACTCCCACAGAGTAGGTTCGAACAATTTTTGAAACCCACCACTGTCTCACTCCCAAACCAATACTTGTGAGTCGGGCTATTGTGGGCTATTTGTTATACCCCTTTTGCTAATGCACATCTTTGTGTGTTCGTGTGATCTCTAGGCATTTTCTTTTAAATGGCAATTGCATTTTGGGTTTGCGTATCAGTTCAGGAAACACAAATATTGTTAAGTTAGCATTCTGAATTCAAATCGGAAAAACTTCCCCATGCACACTAGCGGAAAGGACTGACTATAGCGCCATCCCAGTGAAAGTTACTGCTGAGGTGGAAGAAGGGAGGGAGCAGGGAAGGGTGCAGTCCTGTCAATCATCAGTTGCAAACAGAATTTTTATGCTTCCCTCTACTAGCCAAATATAGAACTGCTAAACATACTTGGGAAAATAACCATCTAAGCCAGGGGTCCTCAAACTTTTTAAACGGGGCCAATTCACGGTCCCTCAGAGGGTTGGGGGCCAGGCCGGCTGGGTGGACATGGCTAAGTGGTCATGTGACTGGGTGGGTGTGGTCAATTTAACAGTCCATTGAACAATGCACACAAATTAAACTTGAATTTGTTTTGCTCCTGGGGGTGTTTTATTTGCTTTTGTTTTCATGTTGCTCTTTTGTTTGCCTTTTCTTTTTATTAGATCATTTTTTCATTTGCTTAGGAGTCTAGTGATCTAACTCAATTTTGCAGCAATTTTTCTCAGCTCCAAGGAACTTAAGAAATTTCTCTCCCTCTCTCTTTCCCTCTGTCTCTCTCTCTCTATCTTTAATTTTGATTTTATGTGTCCCTCTCTTTATCTATCTTCTGGAGGCGGGGAGGTGAAAAACAGGACTTTTTTGTCAGTTTCTTTTTGGCCTCTTGGGGCATCTGTGAACTCTGTTTTTCATTTTCCCCGTCTCCAGGATGTCTCTGCAGGCCAAAAGTGTTGGCCTCACTTTTCAGTTCCAGTCCATGGGGCTCGCGAAGGTAAATCCTGCGCTTGGCCAAAAGGTGGGCGGGGTAACCTCGTGGTCCTGCGCGGGTTGGATTAATGGCTTCAGCGGGTCGTATGTAGCCTATGGGCCATAGTTTGAAGACCAATGATCTAAGCAGATAACTTTCCGAAGAGGCTTTTTGACTTCTGGAATGGCCTAAAAAAAGTTAATCCAGATGATATTACGTTTATGCTTGTTAACCCTGAAGGGCCAGGTTGAGGCAGGCCATCCTGAAGAAATTCTATTCATGAGGTTATTACAAGCTGTCACTGATTTACTGGCACATGATCACTCATAAGTCTGGGTTAGGTGCTCGCAGAACAGCCTGAAAATGGTGGAGCTGTCAATATGTGACACCCAGTGCTAGGAACAGAGGGAATTCCAGTGTTCGATAGATTCAATAGATTCTACTTTTGCTTATGTAATCAGAATTATCAATCATGTTTTCATGTTCTAAAATAATTTCCAATGAAAGGAAATGGCCACTGCTTGATATTGAAAGGCAGAATATATTTTTAAAAGAAGCCACAAAGCAGATGTTGCAGCCTTGATTACTCCCAGAAAGGTACCAAGAGCATTGTGGGAAGAGATTATATTATATATAAGCCAGAAAAACGGTTACAGGTAGTCCTTGGTTTAGGACCATTTGTTTAGCAACCATTCATGGTAATGAAAGTGCTGAAAAAGTTGGACATATAACTGGTCCTTAGAGTTCCAGCTGTTGCAGTATGCCAGGGGTGGGCTTCAAAATTTTTAGCAAGGGGTTCTCTGCCCAGTTGCTGGGTGGGTGTGGTCACAGTGGCCACACCCACCCAGCCTAGTCGGCCTCCTGCACTATGGCAGGGGTGGTGGTTTTGTCCTCGGGCTCTGGAGGCTTTTCTTGAGCCTCCGGGAGGGTGAAAAGGGCTTCCCGAGGCTCTGGAGGCTGGAAACGGGCCCATTTCGGACCTTCCCAAACTTCCAGTAGGCCCGCTTTTTGCCCTCACTGAACTTCTACGCATGCTCTGCACTTACCTGCATCCAAAACAGGCCGTGTGGGGACTCCTGGGAGAGGTGGGGTGGGCGTGGCCAGCCAGGAGTGGGATTTGTGGGTTCTCCAAACTGCACAGAGCCTTAGCTAGAGGTTCTCCTGAACTCCTGCAAACCCCCAGCAGCCCAGCAGCTGATATGAAGATGTCCTCATATTCTGCCATCATCACCACCACCACCAACAGATCTTGCTCCTCATTTATCTCCTTGGCATATCCACCTTCTTCCTCTTCTCAGCATTGGCTGCCTCTCCCTCCTCTGGGCTTTCCAACGTTGGCTGGCCTTAAGGCCCACAGAGAGGAGTTCTATCAGTATTGGGTTCAGAGGTAGCAATGAGGGATGGGGCAATGGTGAGCGCAAGCCCAGTTCCAACAGAGGCCCTATGGGGCTTGAGGATGGCCAGTGTTGGTGAGCCCCATGGAAGAAAGGCAGACAAAAGTGAAGGGAAGGAAGAAGATAACAATGGTGCTGAAGAGGACAGAGAGGAATGTCCAGTGGCAGTGATAGCAGTTGGTAGATGGTGGCAGTAGAATATCGAGGGGTCTTCATTTCAACCATGCTGCGCAGGGTGGCCAAAAGCATAGGGGGAGATAAGTGTGGGAGGAGTAGTTGAAATGTCAGGGGAAACAAGTCAGCCTCTTCTGCAATGGTGGGTTCTGGATCCCGTTGCAACTGTACCGGCTCCACTACATGAATGTGCGCAGTGTGCACGGACACATGTGCAGCGCATGCATGCATGCCCACACGTAGCGCATGCATGCATCCTTACCTCTTGCGATGCCTCTGCGAGCCTCCATGGCACTCCAGCTGCTCGGCGGAGCATCGCGTAGGCACCGTGTGCTCCGTGCGCGTAAGCACCGAAGAGCTCAAATATAGGTAAGGAGCTCGGGCGGGTGGGCGGGCCCTCCGGAGCACCGTATTGGAATGCTACCTGGTGTTTCGGGCACGCACCGGTACGCCCGTACCGGGGCGAACCGCCTGCAACCCACCACTGCTCTTCTGGCTCAATGATCTCCTGAAAATATCCTTAGTTTTAGAAGAATCGATTCTCATGCCTGGGAGGGACCAAGCCACAGATGGCTTGAATCTTTTGGGAGGCAGGAGACGTGATTGCCAGCTGGCTTCCAAAAAAAAGAAAATCAATGGGGAATTCATCCAGAAGTCACAAGTTGTGGTTATGTAAGGGCCTTGTTTAATGACTGCCTGCTCCTCACTAGCAACTGCATCTACGACTGTTGGAATTGCCATTGCTAAGCAGTCACATGATGTTTGCTTTAATGATAGTTTTGCTTAGTTAGAAATTCTGGCCTCAATTAAAGCCATAACCTGAGGATTACTGTACCTGTATATAGAACAGTGATTTTAAGAATGCTCCCAAACCTAAAATGCATTCTCTCCTCCCCTAAAGACCATTTCTGTAGTCAAAAGGAAAGTGGTTAAAAAGGTTCTAAGCAGTACTCTTCTATAAAAATTTAGGGGCAGAGGAACACTAGAATTACCTTACAACATAATAGGATAAGCCGAATTCTGGAAGTGATTGCCATGCCTGGATAAACCTCAGTTTGGCTTCCATAAGAGGCAGGTGAATGATGTTGTGGTGTGCTTCTAGAATACGAGCAGCTAACTAGGGAAACGTGGAAAGGAAAGCACAGGTTTAACTGAAGTAGAAATGAACAAGCAGCATTCAAATAGTGAAAAAGCTTGGACCACATAACTTTTGCTACTTTACTAATCTGCCGTTTTAAGGAATCAAACTACATACTGAGTATAGAACACACTGGGGGAACCCTGAGGATGTCAATACTGGATGTGAAAATGCTGGCAACTCCATCAGCATGGACACCCTTTACCTTGGCTCTTCCTCTCCTCCTTTCTTTGCACAGGTGAGTGGAAATGATATTCTAGCTACAACAGCACCTCTGCCACTTGGGTGATGAGCAGCTATGCCTATTTTCCCATCACTTTCTTATCTTCCTAGCAGAAATTCAAGCATGGCATCCAATATTTAAGAGCAGGGGTCCCCAACCGGTCTATGGACTGGCACCGGTCCGCGGCATGCCAGAAATTGGTCCGTGCAAACCAGTGAAGTCCCATGGACAACAAAGGAAACCACACCCCCTCTGGTACATGGAAAAACAGGTCCCTGGTGCCCAAAAGGTTGGGGGGTTGCTGTTTAAGAGGACTTTATTTAATGGCTGCATTGTAATATGTATGGGTGGCCATAAAGCTAGTTGGCAATAAGAGTGTATGTATGTATGTATGTATGTATGTATGTATGTATGTATGTATGTATGTATGTATGTATGTATATATTAGATTTTTACAACCCCTGG